TCTAATACGTCGCGGGCTTGTTCACGTTCCAATTCCCGGGTATTTTGGGAAGCGAGGCGTGACACCAACTCTCTTGTTTTTCTAAGCTAACATATGCACAGGTTTCTAAGTCTTAAACCGGACACACTAGGCCACGCTAGTCATGAATTTCTAACGGTTCTCAAGCATAACAAAGAGTAATAAACACAACTAATCATATACAGCAAGATCATAACATATCACATAATTAAAATTAAGAAACATAAATCATGAAAAATTCATAATAATCCCTTTTCTAAAATAAATCCTTAAAATTATTTATAAATGTTCTAAAATAATTCCTTTTATAAAACTTTCTTAAATTACTGAAATTATTCTAAATTGATACTTAATCTAAAATAAATTCTTTTAAATTATTTATAATTATTCTAAAATAATTCTTTTGTCAAATAAATTCTATTAATTTATTATAATTACTCTAAAATGATTTTTCACCAAAATAGTTTATTATAATTATTTTAAAATGATTATTTTGTCAAATAAATCCTTAAAAAAATCATAAACTAATCTAAAATAATTTTATCTTATTTTATCTTTACAGTATCTATTATCACAATATTATTTATAATATCATTCATCAAATAAATCCGTACAGGTCACCACCGTATATGTATTACAATGTGAATAGTCATACGTTATTGTCCACAGTCCATTTCGTTCACAATAGTTCTATACGTTATAGTTCTCAGTCCAATATGTTCACGAGAGTTCTGTATTTGTAATGAATAATTATTCGGGTAACGAGTTCGTATGCATAATTAATCTGTAATCATTCTAAAATTGTACTGAGCAAGAATAAGGATCTTGCAAGCAACTAATTAATTTAGAGCGGTCTAAGAATTGAATATCAAGTCAAGAGAGTACCGGGATCTTGCAAACAGCTAATTAATTCAGAGCGGTCTAAGAATTGAATATCAAGTCAAGAGAGTATCGGGATCTTGCCTCGGTTATTGTCGATCGAATCGACGTCGACGGACGAGTCCGCGGGTCTGATCTGAGCGCGGGTGGAACACGGCGGCGAACTCGGGTCGACGTCGGGCAGCGGCGTGACGGGGCAGCGGCTCGCTGCTGGGCAGAGGCGGCTGCTCGACAGTGAGCGGCGACGAGGTTTGAGCGGCGGCTCGAGGGGCTGCCGGCGA